GCATTTTTTCATGCGTCTTCATGGTCCTATTTATGATTCCTTAGTTAAGGATTTCTAGATTCAAGCGGATTGTGACAATCTTCATGTAGTTGCTCATCTGCTGGGTCTAAAAATTGTCATTACTGAAAAATATATTGCTGATCTTCTGGGCATGCAACATCTAAAAGATAAACAAATTTATAAGATGAATAGAAAATCTATATATGTGAAGGAGACGATCAACAAAGCCATCTTCAAGAACTACTGTCTTGAGAAAACTGAGTATAAGAGTAAAGATCTCCATGATGAACTTAGAATTTGGCATAAAATCATTCTGAATTGTATCAACCCTAGACCTCTATCCAGTTCTTTTGGCTATTTCAAGTCAATCAGAAGTACATGTTATACTATTTGCTGACCCATCAAAAGATATGTCTTCCAGCTCTTCTATTTTATTATTTAAGAGACTCGGTTATAAAGACCAGAATCACCGATGATCACAAAAAGAAGGTTTCCAACTATATTCCTTTTGGACGTCTCATCACTGACATCCTGATAGAAAGTGGCTTGGTGAAAAATCTGGTAGAAGAAGCTAAGTTTAGAGAGGATCTGGCTTCTAGTCTTAGAGATTCCTTCAATGGATAGACTCTGAAGAATATGAGGCTAATAGAGGAAGTCATTGCTAAATCTCTACGTGTTCCCTCTGGAAGCATCAAAATCTCAAGAACTCATGTGAATAACTACCCTTGTTTACCAAGGGAGATAACCTGTCTAGCATTGCTATCTACGTTAAAATGATGGAAGCAGAAGGATATGATATGTCCAGTTTCAACTATTCTGACTTACCTCATGCTCAAGAGCATGCTGACTCTTCCATATGTAAAAGGAAGAAGAGTTTAGAAGCTTCTGAACTCAGAAAGAAGAAGAAGAAGTCTGGAACTTCTAAAACTGTGACTCTAGCTGTTTATCTAAAAGCAACAAGTAAGTATGCTACTAATACCTCTAGACTTCTTTCATTGTCTACTTCTAATATTGTTAATGTATGTTCATCCATAACCTCCATGACACAAATTAATCCTCTTCCACCATCAACCAAAACTACAATTATTTTTTACTCTGTTAACACTTCTATCTCTTTTCAGTCTATTTCCTTTACACCATCATCCTTAAAAATTCTTGTATATCAACCAACAATCACCATTACTCCATATGATAATTTCAACTCTTTTTCTATTCCACCATCCACCACAATTATTCTTGTTTCTGATCTTGTTCCCTTAACTACCGAAATTTTTACTTCTAAAACTGTCTCTACAACGTCACCTGCAATAACAACTGCTTCTACCCCCAAACACCATAACCACTTCTGACCTTGCGACCTCATCAACAACACACATTTCCAACTTACTTTCATTCATCTCTACACCTATATAATCTCAATCACTTCCATAAACTTCTCATTTTCAACTTTTGATACCAATCTTCGTTTTACCCTCTTTAACAAAAAATCTACTCTCCATGACTTACCCATTATCCATCCTAATCTAATTTCTCCCTCTGATCACGAAATGTGTGAAAGGATAATTTTTTATAATTATGGAGCTGTTGAAATTTCCACAACTGAACCTTTCACTTGTTCTGAACTTTTTGATATGACTGAACAACCGATATCACAAAATCCTCCTGATTAAACTTTTGAGCCAAATCATACTGAACCTACCCAAGCCTTGGCTGTTTACGAAAAATCTGCTCCAAAAATGTTGGATGAATGCATTAACATTTTTAGAATCAAGGCTAAGAAAAAAGTTGCTAAGTTAAGGGCAGAGGCAAGTACGAGTACTGAGCCTCAAGACATGGATGGTTCTTGGAAACTTTTTCGGAAGTGGATGTCTTCTGAAGTTGAACGAATGAATTCTTTTGCTGAAGCGTCTAGAGTTTGGGATGTTCAGATGGTGACTGAAAGGAAAGAAACAAGAGAAAGAATCAGACTGTTTGAAATGATTGTTGCTAAGCAAAGAGAGGCTGAAGCTAAAGCGCTTTGAGAAGCAGAAGAAGAAAAACTTAGAAAAGCAGAAGAATAAGCCAAACTCAAAGTTGCAGAAGAAGCCAAACTCAAAGCTACAGAAGAAGCTGCTAAAGTTAAAGAAGATGCTATGGTTGCTTCATATTCTAACCCTTCCATCGCGCATCTGGAAAACGCAATTGGTAAGAGTAGAGGAGAACAACAGGTGTTCAGAGAAAGCATCATTGAACATAAGGTTGTCAATGAGAATGTTCAGAACATGCTATAGCTAATTCTGAAAAAGATTTATGCTCCTGCTCCTAAACCCTAGGCTCTAGGATTTTCTTTTTCCTTTTGCTTCTGAACCATATGACTATGCTTGCTTCTTACTTTTTTGTGACTACTGTGTTTCTTCTGATTATTTGATATTTCTGTAAGTCTTCTTTTTTATCTTAGTTTGTTCTACTTCCTTCAACCGACTTTTTATTATGTGAATGTTTGAAGTTAATGAAGTCTTATTTTGGCTAATCACTTCTTATCTTTTCCTATTATTTCTTCTGGTTTTTATGCTTTTCACGCATAGTAACCTTTTTGATGATGTCAAAAAGGGGGAAAAATATAATGATTTTGATGAACCTTAAAATATAATAAATGTGCATTTACCACTGACGTGTGTTTGTTTGTTTATTTGATAATTAACTGAGGAACTCAGAACAAGTTCATTAGGCATTCTAAGACAGGTCAAAATGAAAGAACTATGTTAAAGTTATTAAGAACTGATTGTTCATATAATCGAAGATGTACACTTTGTGAACATATGTTTAAGAAATAATGTTCAGAAGTTGAGAACTTGATTTTTGAAAGTTAAAGTTATCTTGATTTTGGTATCATAATGTTCAGAAGATGTAAAATGTCTGAGAATGTGAATTTCAAAACATAAGAATCAAAAGCAGAAGCAGATGCTTTCCAGAAGAATTGAGTGAATCAGAAGTTGAAGACTATCTGAAAAATATGGATAGAAGATTCAATAAGAAGAAGCTCTGATGAATTCAAGATCTCAATTGATTCTATTGGCATCTAGAGTCAGGATTCTCAAGATCTCAATATCTGATCTATTGAAACCAGGGGGTGTTCTACTCAAATGATTCAGAGTCAGGATATTCGATCTTCATCAAGTCATTGACTCAGGGGGAGTTTCATAAAAAGGATAAGTATTCCTTACCTTTTTATTTTCACTTTTTCTAATTATATGAACAAAATTGTGTCATCAAAATACATAGTTTTATCGTCATAAAAAATGGGGAGATTGTTAGAACAAGATTTGGATATGTAATATTATCTCTGATTTTTTATGATAACAAATGAGTATGTTTGTATGAACAATTTTGATACTCTAATGTTTGTTATTTTTGAGTATTTAACAAATAGGTTCTGTTTCTGATGGATGGTGTGGTCAAGACATTAGAAGATAATTAATCTTGCTTTTGCGCTACACAAGTTCTGATGAACAATCGCAAGACACTCCAGAAGCTTCTGAAGTGTAGGCTCTAATGTTTGTCTAAAGAAACAAGTCAGAAGATCTGAAGACAAAAGTTTCTACTTAAGTCCAGATGCTGAAGACTCATGTTTTTAAAGACAATGGATTCTAAAGAAATAGTCAGAAGATCTAAAGACAAAAAGTTCTACTTAAGTCCATATGCTAAAGACTCAAGTTTCTAAAGACCCGAGGTTCTAAGAGAAGGGTTCTAAAAACCAAGTGCTAAAGACTCTGAAGACAGAAATTCTAAAGACTCTGAAGACTTGAAGTTCTAAAGACCCAAGGTTCTAAGAAAAAGTTCTCGCAACCAAGTGCTGAAGACGCGGTTTTGAAGACTCTGAAGACTTGAAGTTCTGATGACCTTATGTTAAGTTCTCTCTTCTAAACTCATGCTCGCAGAAGCCTCTAAAGTGCAGAAGGAAAAAAATATAATGTTAATATGGTACAATAGTACATAGTACGAAAAAACCTTATTCCACTACCTCTCCACTAGCTTGAATTGTGGAAAAGAAAAGGACGTAACAATACTATTTTGTAACGACTCTTTTTCAAAGAGCCACCGACTCTATTTTGCTTGGCTATATAAACAAAGGATCACATGTTTAAAAAGTGTGTGCGTTCAATGTTAAAAGAAAAGTCATCATTATTAAAACACAACCAAAGCTATCAACCACTATAACAACAACTCTTATCAAAATGATTCTTTAATCATGTTGTTGATGATTTCAAGAAAACAATGAAATTATTAATTCACAATGTGCTTAATTTCATAATATTATTTTTAAATAAGTTATTTGATACGGTTAAATAATGAATTCTTATTAGATGACATTGTAAAACTATTTTACACAGTGCAATACCTTTTAAGTAATAAAGAATTTAAGCTTAAGAGTTTCAAATTTAAAGATTATTTTGTATAAAAGTTTAAAGATAATGCACTGTGTAAAACAATTCTACACATACAACAAATCAAAAAAATTATATTTGTCATATCATTTCAGAATTATAAAAATAAAATTAAGATTTATTGTGATATATGTCTTTCATCAATTGATAATGTGAAAATATTTTACACTATCATTACATTTTCATTTTCTCATCAGTCAAACAAAAATTAGTCTGAAATATTTCATAAAATTTTGTAAGAATTTTTTTAGCTTATTTTAAAACAAATTCATATTTAAAAAAATCAAAAGATAAACTCTTACTCGGTTGAATCTAAATGAAATCTAAAGCAAATCAAGTAAGAAAAGGCAAAAATATATTATGGTACTGCAAAATCAAGCAAGCCTCTGAACAAAAGGGACACAAGCGTCTCGAGTTAAAACTCTTCCAACTAGAGAAATCAAGAATCTAATCCTACCCAATTTACATTCCAATTTGAATAATCGAATAAATTTAATCAAATTAATAATTATGTGCCGTCATTTACTCCTCTAATTACTCTGTTTGACCTCTACCAAAATTGTTACAATCTTTGCCTCACCTAACATTAATCCAACTGTCTGATTCCGACCAAGTCACTGGAACTTCAACAGTCACAAGCTGCCGGAGGCGATCCACACCCGAAAAAGAATAAGCATCAAAATTCCTTTGGCACGACTCTTCAAATTCCGGCGAACTTGGAGTTGAACGACTAACACTAGAAACCCAATCATTGAAATCAAAGTGATTTCTTGGTGATGCTTCATTACCATTCTTCACTTCTTCAATAAATGGATGACTCAAAAGCATCTCAGCCGTCCATCTTTTTCTTGGATCTTTAACAAAACATTTCTCAACAAAATCTTTTCCCTCTTTTGATAAATCTTGTGGTATCATCGGTGATTCTTCTCCGCCACCAATTCGAAGCAACAACGACCACATAGACGAATCTTTCTCCAAACTCCACGCTGGTTTTCCTGTCACCATCTCCACCACCGCACACCCAAGTGCCCAAATATCCGCCGCCGACTCATACTCCCCGTTGTTAACTGATTCCGGCGACATAAAAAGTGGAGTTCCCCTGCATTCCAACCTACTCTGTTCCTCCCCTGATTTTTTTGCAAGACCAAAATCAGCAATTTTGATTCCACCATCATGGAATACAAGAATGTTTTGAAGCTTAATATCGCAATGAACGAATCCGTTACTATGAATATGGTTAAGACCTTCAACAATTGACCTGGTATAACCGCGAATATTCTGTTCTGGAATCCGGCCACCGTGGAATTTAGCTTGATCGGCGAGAGTACCGGCAGAAGCATATTCAAGAAACAGATTGTAATACTCGTGACTATTCTCGAAGGTATAATCATCTCCAAAACAACGAATGATTTGCTGACAGGAACCTAAACAATCGAGAACATGTCTCTCGTTTTTGAGGGAATACGAGGTTGAAACCTCGGAGCTTTTGACGGCTGTCGGAGAAGGAAATAGAGTGGAATTAGAACTACCTTTGGGTAAAACTAAATGAACGGTTGCAAAGGTTCCTCTACCAACTGATTCTCCTCGTACCCAATCCATCTTAGTTACTATGTTTTGGTTTTTTTGGTTTGTGAAGAAGAAAGAAGAACCCTTTTCCTTTATATATGGAGTGCAAGAAAGAAATCTAGTTGATAGATATTTCATGACCTAAGCAATGCGGTGTCTAGGAAAATTAAATTAAATTCTAATTTTATTTAATTATTAATAAAGAAATATAATAATAATAAAAGAGTATGGAAGATAAATTAAAGCACGTGGATATTTTTAGAGGAAATGAGGCCTATAGTTTCCTATTTGTCTAAACGTGGTTGAATTCAGACGAAGGGTTATAAAAGATCTTTGTGATAGATATTACGCTACTTGCTGGATAGTGACTTCTAATATTTGATATGGAATGGGTGTCTCATAAATAAATATTGAAAATTTTATGTGTAAATTTGTGGTGATATATGGTGTGATTCGTGTGAATTATGATTTGAGTAATAATGTCGTATTTTATGTACCTCTTCAAAAGAGATGTGTCGTTTTACGCACCCCGTGCTGTCATATCAGCTTAACTTAGCAAACAAAATATTTTTGGTGGTTAATGAATTTTTACACGCATTTGTATAAAGTTTTGATAAATAAATGTATTTATTTATGCGTGGTGTGTTTTGCATTTATAATAAGTTTTTTTTGGTAAATATTGAGCTGATCTTTTTCTTAGCAACATTCAGTGCATCAGACTCAATGTCAATCTTATCAATTTAGTGATTTGAATATTCATATATCGTTAACACGAATATACTTTCTTCACTTTTAGTACAAAATTAACTACCATATATATAAAAATAAAAATAAAAAAAATTAAAATTAAAATAATACTTGGCAGTGGCACTAGGTTCAACAAGTATACATACTAGTTACTCACTATTCACTTTATTATTTGATAAAAATAATATTTGTGTATGCTATCTCATAAATATATAAATATTTATTAGATAGATATTAATCAATTATAAGATATTTGATTATATTTGTATCCGCTATCTCATAATAATCACAATGGGTTGAGATCTTATTGGAAAAATTGAAGATTCATGTAACAAACTAACAATGAGAAGGAATCTACCGGTTGATAAAAGATCAGCCATTGATTTAGAAGAAAAAAAACTAATATGCCATAGAAAAATCAAATATATTAAAAGTATTAAAAAAAAATTTATCAACCTCTAGTCCATCAAACCCTAACACTTTAATTTGCATCTTTAATCGTTTATGTTTGACTTGTTATTACTGGACATTCAATTATCATTATTAATTGTCATCATTAAAAAAATTATCTTTATTTAAGGCATGTCATCTAGAAATGATATGCAAAACAAAACTTCATAAGAACAATATAGATTATAGATGTTTTCACTGAGGTATTTGAATGATATTATTAATAGTGTATGATGCAAAACAAAACTTCTTCAACCAACACTTTCTTTATTTGGCAATAGTCTTCCGCAAGTTGAACTTTGATAGATATTGATTAAATTCATTCTCGACATAAGAAAATTGAAAGGCTTAGTGAATAATGACTCGGTGAAGAAGTATGAAATTTGATAATAAGAAGAAAAATGGATCAACTTCATAAACCTTGCTTGTAACCCCTAACAATGTGGAAATCTATCACAAGATGTTTGATCTTTTCTTGGAAGACTAGATTGGCAGCTATGTATAATGCAATTTTGACTATCATTGTATAAGATCGATAGTTTAGAGGAGTTGACTTGTAAATCACGAAATATGAACCATTAAATCTCACAGAATATATCAGTTAAATCCCTATACTCAGCTCCATAGGTTGATCTTGACACGATACTTTTCTTTTTAGTTCTCCATGAGATGAGAGAAGAACCTATGGAAAAGTAAGAACCTGACACATATCTTTTAGTGTCAATACACACTGTCCAATCAACATCTGAAAAGCCTTATAAATGTATAGTCGAGTAACTAGGGAGAATAGTCCTCAATCGAGACAATGCTTCAAGTACCTCAAAACTTTCAAGCCAATGTACAACGAATGAATCAAATACAAATTGACTTAGTTATCGAGTGATAAATTTGATCTATAATCTAGTAGTGTTCATGGATATAAGTCTTCCAATAATTCATCTATATGATTGTATGTTTTTAAAGGGAGCACTATTTTCGAGGAAAAGCTTTATTGATGGGTCAATTGGAGTAGAAACAAGTTTTGAGCCAAGTAAACCCGAGTATGCTAATATATCAATGTAATGCTTTCTTTGGCACAAAGATATTATTTGGTTAGAGTGTGAAAACTCTAAAATAAGAAGTATTTAAGAGTGCCAAAATCATTGAAGCCAAAGAGATTGAATTTGATGCGCCAGAAATTCCCAATTTTATCACTGCCTCTATGTCCAAGCACGATCGTGATGTCAACGCCATTGAGGAAGATATGTTTGTTACTTCAGTTGATGAACTTGTGACCCCACTCCTGACTATCAAAAAGAACTTGTTGAACGCCGGTGTATTCCCAGGCTGTGATAAAAGCTGTCATTTCTATTTGTCCTCACCAACCAACCGTCCTTTGTTAAAAGCAGGAGTTCAGTGCCTAATAGATAACAAGGAAATTTTGTTCGAGAAGCTCTTTGGCTTCAAGAAGGTCTTGTACCTTGTTCTTCAGAGCCCAATAGTTGTTAGTGTCATGGTCGGGACTCTCAGAATGGTATGCACAGTGGGCATTAGGATTATAGTGAGGAGAGGTTGTGTTAGGATTCTTTGGAGCTTCTTTCGAAGTCACTAGATTAGATCTTAACAAATGTGGCAATACTTGAGATAGTGTCATATTAATTCGGTGAACTGTCTGACTGGTCTTTCCATTCTTGGCTGGTTGCTTCTTTGCTGAGTAGGTGCAGGTTTAAGAATCATGACAGCCTCCACCATTGAACGGTGTTCAGCCCTATCTTGATTTCTCTGAGGATATACAACAACAACTTCTTTCTTTTCGATGAATAGTTTCCTTACAGCGGCAGAGGATGCATCTTTTTGAATTTTCCCATTCTTTATCCCGGCTTCTACCCTTTCTCTGGTCAATATCAACTCAGTAAAACCTGTCGATGAACTCCCAATTAAGTGATTAAAGAAGGGACCAGACAAGGTGCCCAAAAACATGTCTACCAACTCTCTTTCAGATAGGGGAGGCAGGACTCTTCCTGCTAAGTCCCTCCATTTCCACCAATTCTTCCAGGGTCTCCACCAAAAGACCCGTTAGAATTACATCAGTTCTAAAGTAGCTCCGTTGATAATTACAATGCCTGGACCAATCCCGTATTCGTCAGACAAAACTGTCCCTTGGAATTATGGAGGTGATGTCTACTACCACGGTATCAAGCAAGATTGGCCAGCTGCTGAAGATTCAAGTTTTGAGAAAGTTGACTCCAATGTCAGTAATATTGCAGGGACTAGCAAGATTACCCGAAGTGGAAGGGTATTCTCTCCAGAAATTGCTCCTCCAAAAGCTATTTATGGACCCGTAATCATTCATGTTGTTGTTGCTCCTCCAAAGGTTATTCCCAGTCCTACAATTATCTCTGCTAATACTCTTGTTGACAAAACTGTTACAATCCCTGTTATCACCCCTACTGACATTCCTGTTGTCGAGTCAACCAAGACTCGAGGTAAAGGTATTATGTTTGAGCTTGTCCAGACGAAGGCATAATCAGTAGCTATCTCTGAGACCTCCCGAAAAGAGATGGAGGAAATTTTAAAGATCATAAAAAGAAGCGACTACAATGTAGTCGAGAAACTGGGGCAAACTCCATCAAAATTTTCCATGTTGGCTTTATTACTATGTTCCGAGGCTCATGCAAAGGCCTTGGTAAAATTCCTTATAACTGCTCATGTACCCCAAGAAGCATCTGCCGATCAGTTCCAAGACTGCGTAGCCAGCTTGACTGCAGATAATGGTTTAGGTTTTTCGGATGATGATTTAACGCCAAGAGGGAGGCAGCATAATGAGGCATTATATGTCTCAGTCGAATGCAGGGGCACGACTTTGGCTCATGTCTTGGTTGACACCGGTTCGTCTCTGAATGTGTTGCCTAAAAAGGCTCTTGATAGGCTTGACTGTGAAGGATTGATGCTGAAACCTAGCAACATCGTAGTGAGCGCCTTCGACGGCTTAAAAAGGATGGTGCATGGGGAAGTGGACATCCCCATAAAAGTTAGAACCCAAACATTTAATTCAACTTTTTATGTAATGGATATTCGCCCTTCATATTCCTGCTTATTAGGTCGTCCATGGATTCACAATGCTGGTGCCGTTACTTCTACGTTGCATCAAATGCTGAAATATCTAATCCAAGGGAATATCATCACTGTTCATGGAGAAGAAGATTATATGGTCAGCCATCTAAATTCCTTCAGATATGTGGAATTAGATGGTGAATTTATTGAAACTCCATTCCAGCACTTTGAAGAAGTCCCACAAACTGTGGCGGTAACCAAGGTTGTGTCTCAAGATCCCAAGATCACAAGGCCTCCACTCAAGATGTCATCTTTGAAGGATGCCAAGGCAGTGATAGAAGAAGGTGGGTGCACTATTTGGGGCCAACTCCCAGATATCCCATACAAATCTGACAAATTTGGTTTTGGTTTCACTTCAGGAGCCCAGAAAGCTGTACGCCACGCTCATGCCGGAGGACCACCCTTGAAGATCAGCAACCACCAAGTCAGTGCCGTGGAGGATGATGAAGAGAGCTGTAACCTGGAGGATTAGATTTTCCCAACCATCAGTGGAGGGCTCAACAACTGGGAGGCTAGAGATTTTATCCCGATCACATTTATCCCATAGTAATTTGTCTTTAAATTTTATCGGATCTGTAATATTAAAACAATTTAGACTCTTAAAACCTTGTGTCTTACCTGAGGCACAATGGTCCATTTGTAAGGGTTATTATCTGATTTCCATATGACATCAATGAATCATGGACGTTTTTGCATACAAACTTTGTGCTCATTGTTTTTCTTTTTACATTCTTATTTCTTTC